ATATATATATATCCGTTTATGTTTATAAAAATTGACAATAAATTTGATATCAACTCGTTTAGAATTATTCATATAATATGTCTATCATAATAATTAACTTCTCTATTATATATTTTAGATTAATCGCAGCCGTGCGTTGCTAAACAGCCTTTCGACTTAATTTGATTTTCATTTACTATTACTGGACGTATCTTGTCATTTGTTATTATCCTCCATGACCAACAACGGGTTATGCGGGCATTAAGGCGTCTAGTAACTAATATACTATACGAATACGAATACGAGTATACGAATATATGAGAGCTACGCGAACTAGCTCTATAAGCTCTGGCTAAAGTTTGAATTATATTTAAATTCGTTTAGAAAAATACATGTTTACGATTTGTATGCAAATGCTGAGCTACGCACGGGCGATAAATTTGATTTCCGTTTTATAGACTGAATTACATATTAGGTATCAATTATTATGATATATTAAAGTAGATAGAGAGATTAGATATATATGTTGATAAAGAGAGCACTAATTAATTAACTTCTAAATTGCAGTTTACAATTTGTATTCGCTGAACGCAAATATATTTCTTCTTATGTTTTTGGAAAAATAAAGCATGGCAAGTTAACACTAAATTAAATGAAACGCATTTCTCTACAACTCACAGTTGTATCCAGCATAGATCTTAAGCATTATTTTTATCAGATATTGGTCTTATCAATAAGCGACATATATGAATATAAATCGTTCAATAAATAACATGAGAACTTAGTTTTAAGAGTTAAAAACATTAGTTAGTTGTTGTCGTATGCTCATTTAGATATTTATGTATAAATATAGCAAGATACATATATATATATTAAGAGAGATAGATAGAGAGAGACAACGCAGTTAATATATATTAATTTATATATAGATATCCTGTTTTAAGTTACTAAGCGAGTTCGTGTCCTAGCTTACAACAAGCCTATTTAATTGTATCTGTATTTGTATCTTGTATTCTGAGCTTTTGTGTTACACTTAAGGCACACACAAATAGGTATCTATATTAAAGAGAATTATAAAAATTAGTAATTTGACATAACTTATCAGAGTGGGGCACAATTGGAGTCAGTATTTGGTACCTTAAACTTTGCTTTAATCACCGCATACTAGGCATAAACGTACCATAACAATGACAACGCAATGGTGGACAGATTCATGATTGTCATGCGCTTTACTCACCCGAACTAACGACGATATTTGCTGTTCGCGCTCCCAGCGGTCGCTACCGTTCCATTAGAAACGCTTTTAGGCACGGGGCCCGAAACTGGGCCATTACCACAGGGCGGCGGTGCTGCTGCATTATACGGTGCGTAGCCGGGTGCAGTTGGCTGCTGATTATCTGCAAGCAACCAAGAGTTGATAATTACGCACAGGATTTGTAGGAAATGCCATTACTTACGATAGCTGCTGGGTGGTGCAGCATAAGGGTTCATGCGGTTGCCATTCATGTTGTGTTTGGTTGGACCGCCGCCATAATTTTGTTGATAGCCACTACCGAAGTTGGGAGGCGGCTGCTGCTGCTGTTGCTGTGGTGGTGGTGGCTGATGCGGTGGTGGGCCCTGAGGCACTGGCATAGAACCAGGTACGGGTGGAGCCCCAGATGGCGGCATATTCCAGTTACCAACCGGTGGTGGCGGTGGGCCATTGCGATGATGGTTCACTGGTGGTACACCAGGTGTAGGCGGCTGCATGTTCGGCGGACCGCCCCATTGATTACCATGCCATTGTGGAGCACCGGGTGGTGGTGGCGGCGGTGCATTCCAGCCGTTCTGAGCAGGCGGATAAGCGTTCCAGCCATTCATTTGTGGCGGCGGCGGCTGCTGATAATARGGTTGCATGGGCGGCGGTGGCCCCCAATAATTGTAGTTTGGTGGCGGGGCAGTCATTGGTGGTGGAGGTGGTTGATGTTGATACGGCGGCATTTGTTGAGGCGGAGGTACTTGGGGACGGTAACCAGTTGGGGGCATGTTGGCTTTGGGTGGAGGCTGCTGTTGCGGCGGCATCTTGTTGCCATTGGCTGCAGTGCTCTGAACAATTCTGTCTTTCTTTTCCAAATTGTAAATAGACTTTTTTACGTCCACCAACACATATTTAATCGAGTGCTGTCTCTGAACTGTGACGATAGAAAGTGTCATAAAGGGCATATATTAATTTACTTCACTACACTTACGTATGGCCTTGTCTACGGCATCATAGTCATCAAATTCGATAAAGGCAAAGCCGCGACGCTTGCCGGTGGTTTTGTCTGTCAGCAATTTCACAGAGACCACATTGCCGAACTGTAGGAAATACTCGCGCAAGCAATCCTCGTCGTGGTTATCCTTCAATCCGCCAACAAAGAGCTTCTTCACTGAAATATTTGTCTCGCGTGTTTCGCGCTCTGGACGGGGCAAAGCTCGCTTTGCTTCCACAGTTCTAGAACAAGATTCAGAGATAATAGTAGATAACAAATAATGAGATTAAGTCCATGCAATAAGACAGATTTCATTGACACATACTTGCCGTCTATGATATGCGGACGATTTTCTTGCGCCGTATCTACCATGGCAGACTTTGTATAGGTAATAAAACCAAAGCCACGTGAGCGTTTAGTTGCGGCATCTCTCATAACAACAACATCCACCACCTTGCCCCATTGCGAGTAGAAAACTTTGAGGCTCTCTTCTGTGGTGTAGGGCGCTAGGCCGCCAATGAACAGCTTGCGCAAGTGCTCCAATTCACAAATGTCCTGCGGGAGACGTTGACAATATATTTATATTAATTGCTGTGCTTGTTGGTTTACGGGCAAATTTTTTATGTACCACAGTGTGCGGTTCCATGGAGTGAGTGGGTGTTAATGGCGCACTTGTATTGATACTTACATCCTCATCCTTGATTTCAAATATTTCGGGTGTAGTTTCCTCTGAGGATTCCTCTAACTTAATTGCTTGCGGGTTGTTTGCCATATTTGGCTCAGCTTTATATCAAGTTTACAAAAAAAATTCGGTACCGCTGCTCTTTAGACACGCACGCCAAGAAAAAGTTAAGGATGTGCAATATGTATCGTTTAACATAAATATCGATAGATGCGTGATACCGATATCATGTTTTGCCTTCATAATATTATCCAGCCCTAGTTTGTTTGTTTGTTGGTTTTGATTACGTTCGTTTAGTAAAATTTGTAATATTCTCAAAAAAAAAAATAAATATTATTTTCCTTTGGATTAAAAGGCTATTTGCAGATACCACAAATGCAGTGAACTGAGGTAAGCGGCTGAAAGTGTCTGCACTGCACGTCAAAGTTCGAAGTATAAACTGTTGCCATAGATATTCATAACCCACCAGTCAGTGATGCATACTTTGACTTTTTTAAAGCTAAAAATTTTAAAAACGCCAAAACCGCCCAATCCTAAATCAAAGTAACAAGTTTTTGCATTAGTATTTAGAGCTAGGTTTTGGCAAACGTAAAATGTGCCAAAAACTACTTCTAGTTAAGCTTAGTTTATTTTCTGGTTTTTATCAGTAAATAAATTAAAATGGGAATACGTTTAAGTATATAATGAATTAAAGCTGCTTTATTAACACGAATTGATAAGCCTTGGCGGAGGCACTAAATGGTTGCGACGCTGCTGCTGCTGCTGCGGCTGTTGTATTTGCCGCTGTTGTTGTTGCTGTTGGTCAGGAGGCACATGGGTTTGGTGTGGTTCTTGTTGGTGGTGGTCCGCGATGTCAACATAATTACCATTCGCACTGTGCCCGTTATTTATGAGCCTATCCTTGGGCAGCGGCGTAGGCAGCAGGGCGGGCATTGCCGTCGGTGCGGCATAGTAGCCGCTGCCTAACATGGCCGCCGCCGCTACCGCTGTACTGTTAGCCGGCGCTGCCGTCGCGTAACTCGTTTGTCCCATGATGGTGCTCATAAAACCATTGGCCACGACAAAGTTCCTGCAAATTGATTGTATCTGGTATTACATAAAAATGAGCGCAATTGAACCCAAACCCCAAACCCATAGCCAAAGCCAAAGACCCCGGTTAGACCCAGGCATTGTCTAATTGGCCCGTAAATGTCGTTAAATTAATTTCGTGTTAATTTTATGTGAGTACATCAATTAAACTTGTGACATTTCTTTGAATTACTTCCGTTTCAAAATGTTCAGCCTCACCCCTTCAACCCCGCACCCCCGCATCACCCTTGGTATTCGAATCGCCTTACCTGTAGTGCTGATCAATTTGCGCCTTCTCAATGCGCTTATCCTTGGCGCGTCGATTTTGAAACCATATCTTGATTTGAGTTTCAGTCAAGCACAACGTCTCCGTCAGCTCAAAGCGTCGACTCCTCGATATGTACTCGTTCCGATGGAACTCCACCTCCAGCCGCAACGTTTGCTCCGTGCTAAATGTGGTGCGCTGTCGCCTCTGTCGCCCTTCCTTACGCCGACGTCGAGCCACTGCCAAACGGAGAGCAGATAATCAAATCGTTAAAGACTACAACATAATCCACAACAATGATCTATGTAAGTGGGCCACACGCACATGCTGACTGTGGAAAGCGTTAGGGCGAAATTAATCTTACATTAATAAACCATCAAATTGCCCTCAATCTCGAGCACTGTGTGTAACCGCTAAATATCCTTGCGTGCGCACAAGTTAAACAAATAATTAACCATGCGGCTGGGCCCTTTCTATTGCAGCCTAACGGAAATTTTGATCGCGTTTGTAGCGCACATTAAAATGCATTTTACACGTGTTCCTAGACTGCCCATCAGTGGCATTCCCCTTGACACCGTCCCTGCCACTGCCGTCTCTTAATAGCATCATAGCATTTTATACATTTTCGTCAATCTGAGCCGGGAAATTTTCAACAATGCCAACAGCTGTCTCCCATCCTCCCTTTGTTAAATTATACACATTATAATGCCCTCGCCTGCAGGATATTCACAGTGCAGCGTGCTATTGGTAACGTGTCTTATAGAGCTGATATTTGAGAATACTAATTTGGTAGCAATTTAATTAATGTATATAATATAAAACATTAACTAAATATAAACAAATAAAAACTTAAAAAAATTAGGAAAAGAATAGAAAAACATAATTCGCATAAATCAGTTATTAAATATATAGGTACGTGCGCCTGTAAACATATATAAATTTATATCATACAATTTCCCTTGTTAGAGTATTCGCACTTCGGTATGGCATGGAGTTTGCTTATTATTTGTTTGCATTTCGCTGTAACGGTAACGCCTACCAAGCTCAATTCTCCGCACACTTTCATAATGCGTACTCTATTTCCCTTGTATGTCCGAGTACATGTTGACTAATTGTTGTTTTTCTGCACCGCCTCTCTACCTCTCTCATTGCGCTCCATCTCTTTCGCGCCCTTATGCTCCTGCGAAGCTGTGTAAAGTTTTCATTTGTGTGTAATCCCTAGTTTTCGCCTGATTACCCTTTGGCTGACTAACTCACAAAAGACTTAAGCTCTGCTTGCGGCTTATATAAGTCTGTATGGAAATATATATGTAGGTATGTACATATATATATATATTTTTTTAAATCACGTGTGAAACTCGATACGACAAGTGTCCTTTGAGCWGGCGCAAGTGTCTGTCAATGGTTTGTTTGTTGAGTGTGTTTTTTAGGTTTCCTGTTAAGCTCAATTACAATGTTAATTTTTTAGACATACTTTCCTTTTTTTAGCTAACTCTCCGAAAGATATGCTTAATGGGGGTGCTTAGCCTGATGTGCCTTGTAATATCATCTCCCCTTATCAATCTTGCTTGCTTTCTTAATTTCGATATCTTTTTTTTTTTCTTTTTTTTTACCCATTAAAACTTAGTTAATCGGGTATAACAGCTGAGGAGAACTAACTGCTAATGAATACTGGACCAGGACGAACAATTAAATCTAACTAGCCTTATTTGGCTGTTGTATAACTTTCTGGAAATCGCTGAAAGCCAAAAATCTAACCATTTTGTTATTACATACATAAATACATATATGTATGTATATCAAAATTTCACTCAGTGAATATTTCACTATCGTAAAAGTTAATTGCTTGGAAATTATGGGATCTTCATATATATATCTATGTAACTAAAAACATATCATATATATATAAAGAGTAAAGGATATGTTCAAGTCGTTCATCGCCACATAGACCACTCACACTTGCTTTTATCCTTTCCCTCTTTTTCTCTTATTTGCAACGACCTATAAGCGAGATTACCGCAAGTAAATGGGAATTTTTACGGCTGAATAAGTTTTAATATTTTGTTAATTTGCAATTTTTTTTGGCTCATTGTTCATCTTAACATTTCCCCTTTGCTCACTCCTTTGGCTTTCTTTCGCCAGTTGCTTGCTTGCCTTACAGTTTCCTTTGGTTTTTTGCTTTAAGGGTTTGCGGCAAGTGCAAGGATATTTAATAGCCTGGCTATTGATATTTATGCACAACTTTTTTCGCAGTTCCTGCGGAACTGATTTTTTCATGCATCTCATATTGTTTTGACGAATCAACTTTTACACCTGCATGTGAAAACGTGTGAACAATTTGGAAACTATTTTGTTTCATTTAGTTTTCTCGATTTGTGAAGCAATGCGATCCAAGAAGAAGATCAATGGGAATAGACAACGGTTTCTCATACATCTGTAAATAAAACTCACTCTCATTATATCGCCCTAACTTACATTACTCTCAGCTTAGGTAATATTAGAAACAGATTCATTATGCAGTTCACACACACAGTCATATTCATACATTAAAAGGTAAAGAAAGTGGGGATTTCATTGATAACAATTGAAATTGTCGTATTGTACACTCTATATTCCAGATCAGTTCCAATGCCTGTTCCTCTGTGCCTGCTTGGCCGTGCCAGAACCCAAATAGCGGCAGCCTTTCAGGTCAGATTTCTAGCGAACAAAGATGCCTCCAACATTGAGGTTAGTCCTGTCTACTAATCTACTACTAATAAAAATATATCTAACAATTTTATCACGCAGCTACCGCCTGAACCGACTACGTGTTGCATGTCAGGATGCGCCAATTGCGTTTGGGTGGAATACGCACAGACTGTGGCCAAGATTCTCGGCGACAACGATGAGCGTGCACGTGAAATAGTTTTAGCCAAGATCAAAGATCCCAATTTACGCATGTTTTTGGAAATTGAGCTGCGTAACTTGAAACAAGTTCGAGAGAGCAGGCCAGAGGAACCAAAAAAATGAAGGCAACTAGTCCAAGGAATAGCATAAAATTGTTTAAGTAGCATAAATTAGTTTGTTGAAATACAATTTTGAGAATTGAAGATGTGGTTTATTTGAAAAATCGATGTGAAGAAGTTGTTGGGGTAAATAATATCGATTTTACAATCAATTTATACCATATAGAGGAGAATCCGGTTGTAACTTCGCTTACAGCGTCTGTACGGTTATAGACAAACTTTTATGGGCAAACTTATACGATAATAGCGCCTGCCGGGTATAACGACGGTCCCTTGAGTGTCGTTATAACCGGATTCTACTGTATATGATAGGCTAAATAGGTTGATTCTTCCTTTAAAATAGTCGAAGATATACGATTATTTCCGTTTAGACAAGATCCTGGACGTTAGCATTACAGAATACTCGCCATAAAGTCTCTATTAAGACTTTAGAGCCTAGAAGGACAGACAGGACGATCGAACCCATATACTTTATTTACTAAAGCTTATTTACTAGAGCTCTAAAAAGGAACCTCGAACGTCAATTTTGTTGGCACAGATTACAAGCACTAAGATCTGAGAGTCGACCAAAAATTCAAATTTTCAACATTTTGTGTTGATTTTTTCGGAAATTGAGCTAGTTAGCTCGATTTTTAGATTTTTAGTATATATATGGCATTCTTTTTGGAATACTGGCATGGATTTTGGAATTTGTAATTGGGAAGATATAGCCATAATTACAAGAATTTTTTTGTTAGAATTTTAATGTCTCGAGTTTTGTTTTGATCAAGACACAATATGGCTTTTCATAGATATAGGAGTGATATATTAGACGAATGAAGACGCTGAACAAGAGTTAGTATTTGATTTATAGCAACGGTAGTGTTTGTAGACTTACGAATCAGATCGTTGTCCTTATGAGGAATATATGAATGCATGGGTTGGATTAGACCTTATTTAGGCCTTTTAATTTGTTTAAATTTTGACCAGCTTGCTACTCACTCCATAAACTATGTATGCTATACTTACAAAATGCTGAAAATCCAGCGTTGATTTGAGCATCAGCCGAAAAAGCCGGGTAGGACAGAAGGGTCGGTGAAGTTGCATTGGGAATGGTTCTATAGGGATTATATTCCGGCGGAGCAGGAGCGATTAATTCGTATGACGGGAAACTGATCAGTGAGGCGCGTTCGTCACTTATTGAGATATCCGGAGAGGATGCACTGCCGCCGTCGCTCTGATAGGGCGTCTCATGGTGAGTGCCCACATCGATGTCATCGCTCTCACTATTGTGTGTTCGAGTCTCGAGATGACCGTAAAGACGTTCGAAGAATTGACGCGGAGAAGACGGACGTGGTGGCACGGATAGCGCTGTCAGCTGACCGGGTGTCGGTGTGGAATTCGAGGACTTAATTACGTTCTCCACATCGAGTGGCGTTGATTGGGTTTGCTGCTGCATTTTGTGTGGCCGATTTGCAACGCTATTTAGCAGCAGAGGCTATAAACTTATCACTCGAATAATCGACGTGCGACTGAAGCTGAAACTTGGCGTTACTTCCGACTTTGTGCCTGACCGGTAGCAGGCGCCTTGGTCAAGCGTTAGCGCTTATCCTGCGCGCGTCACAAATTATGCGTCGCATCAACAATCAACAAGAAGGTGCTTAAAATTATCGTTAATAAAAAATATTACTGGCGCCACACCTGAGGTGGCAAAGCGCTGATTGGTTGAAACTATTTTGCTACCCTTAGTCCACTTCCGCCTCAATATATTCCTTGAGAGGGTAGCTAAAAGGATAAGCGCCGCCCATATCTACAGCCATAGCAAATTGCTTCTTGGCAAGTATGTGTACTACGATTATTAGCTACTTGCTACGAAACTCAGCAACTTCAGGGACATGATTTTAGTACTTTATTTAAATCAAAATATGTGGGCACAAACAATCATATTGATTTATGTATATATATAAAACAGTAAAATATAAAGATACCTATCATTCTCGCCCATAATACGCGAGAAATTTTATTTAAATACCACTTGGACTATCAACATATCGTGCCCAAATACTACTCAAAATACTCAAACTATCGATACAATATTCTAACATCAGCATTTCTGACATCGCTACATTACTTTTTGGCAGCTCAATAAAAGAATATTTTAATTTCAACAATTTAGCGTCTTAAATATGTCTTATCAATTATATCGTAATACCACGCTTGGTAATACACTACAGGAGAGTTTGGACGAATTAATTCAGGTGAGTACCACAATTACAACAAAAATAAATTGCATCAGCTCGATGCAGTAGCAGCTGCGTCGCAGACACGGTCGCATTCTTGTAAAATGTTGATTTACTTATATATTTACATTCTGGAAATGAATGTATGTAAAATGTATATATTGCGTAGTAGCTTCATTTGGATGAATGAAATGGAAAGCTTATATGGAAATCAGTTACAGTAATATTTCCTCATATTTGCAGTACGGACAGATAACGCCTGCATTGGCCTTCAAGGTTTTGCTTCAATTTGACAAGAGCATCAACAATGCTCTTAACCAGAGAGTCAAGGCGCGAGTTACTTTCAAAGCGGGCAAACTAAATACTTATCGATTCTGTGACAACGTGTGGACCCTGATGCTCAACGACGTGGAATTTCGGGAGGTGCACGAGTTTGTTAAAGTTGACAAGGTCAAAATTGTGGCCTGTGATGGCAAAAGCGGCGATTTCAATTAATAACTAAGTAAAGCAAAAAAGGATACAAATTTCAACGCATTCTACTTAATAAGTTTCTAATTAATAAGTCAGTTGGCTAATGTTCGCTGCAACTGCAGCAATTCGGGGGAAGTAAACTGTTAACACACATATATAAATGTGAGATGGATTGTTTAAATATCTCTAAGAATATGTACAATTAACTGATCTGGCCTATGTCAGACCTCTTAAGATGCCTTAAATCACATGTGTGAACATTTTACACCTCAATTCTTGTTATTGTATTTATGCCTAAAAAACAAAAAGAAAACAGTTAAATATGATAACTATATAAATTGAAAATGACTGTTTAACTGGCAGTTTTTCTCATGCATTTTTTATTTCCAACAACAGCGTCCGTTTTATTTGTAGTAAAATAAATTGCAATACAAATTTTGAAGTAAAGTTTTTACATTTCAAATTTAGCAATTGTGCCAATATTATATGATCGATACCCTTTCGATAAATAAGTTATAATGACTGGCTGGAGTTTTTTTGAGTATGTTAAACAACAGTCAAAATCGATAACAGCTGTTCATGTAAATGTTTATATCAAATTAAACTTGTATACATATTTAATATAAAAATACGAAATAGATTGTATTCAATGCACAATTTAATATTTAAAAAATTTCTCATTCCATCTTAAAAATTGTTCATATAAATATCGATATTCTGAGTCTCGCCCGAACATTGACTGGTATATCGATATATTGCTATAAAACCAACATCTCTCGATTCTCTGCACAAACGGTAACAACAGCGCGTCGTGTTCACACGGGGACCGCTTGATAACCAATTTTAGATATTTTGAAACGGTTAAAGTTATTGCTATTTCAATTTGAAGCTATTATTATTCATTTTGAATTTATTCGCGGCAAACCAAATAAGAGCTAACCGCGAATGCATATCACAAGTAAACTCGGGAAATGCAGAAAAAATTTAACTGCGACAAGTGAATTAAAGTGTAAAAATCTATGAAAATACGTTGTTAGTTTGCAAATAAAGTTTGCTAACTAAATTGTTTTTTAAAAAGGTAAAATATAGTTAGTGTCCTTAAAATCAAATCAGTTGCCACTTAGCTTAAAGGAGTGCGTAAATTCATATGCATAAGTTTGTGTATTTGTGTATATGTGTATGAATGCATGGATGTAGGTGTTGTATATGGAATTATTCGCTGTTGTTGTTGCCTTTGCTGTTGGGCTGACTGAGCGTAAAGAAAACGAAAAAGTAAACGCGTAAAATAGAAAAAGTGCACTTATCTCCAAAAACAGCGCGAGTTTATTTTGTGTTTGATTTTAGCCGAAGCAACCAAGTTGCAATAACAGTGAATCAATAAATGTTGCTCTTGCTATTGTTTGTGGCTTTTGCTGCAAAGCCCTTGAAGTGTTGCAGAAAATAAATTACAAACATACAGAGCGTGTGCCAAAGACAGAAGACGGAAAACAAAACGCAAACGAAGTTGTTTTTGTTGTTGCTGTTGCTATTGCCTTTTGCTATTTGCAGCTAACCGAGACTAAATGATTAAGCCATAAACATATAAAGCGTAAAAACAAGCAATATAATAATTTGTATATATACGTCTACATACATGTACATATGTATGTGTACTGCGCAGCACTGAAATAAAATTCTTCATTTTTTGTTTTTGTTTACAATGCGCTTTATGGCATTCGTTTGTTTTTGTTTGCGCTTTGCTTTTGCGTTACTGTTACCGTCTCTAATGAGTCCAATTGGACTACCATAGCGAGAATTAAAAAGAAAAACAAAAAAAAATACAAATTGATTCGAAATTATTAATAGTAATCGAGAGTTCCAATTATGAAATGCTAGTAATTCCAATAAATTTAATTGAAATCTAAAAAGGTTAATCCAGATACACCGCCAAAATTGATTTCCGTCGCATCAAAATCTTTACCTCAAAACTGGATTATAATAAATCCGTTGATATTGGAACGCAGCAGGAAAACAACTCTGGGGTAACCAACAAAATGGTCAAACGGTAGGTACACATACGCCCAACACTATATCTAGTACTTTTATGATTGCTTTATGACGACTTTGTATATATTTACGATCTGAACAATATATGCCTATCAACATTGGGTTCATTAACTCATTTTGTTTTGTAATTGGTAATTGGTAAGAAAGTTCGACTGTGAGAGAGTTCGACTGTGTGCAAATCCGTCGTAGAATTTTTTTGAGATTATTTTTAGAATGGAATTGGATTCAATGACCGGAGTCTATTGAACTTGATAATGATGAATTATAACGCAATTTATTTTTGTTAATTGTTTATATCAGAAAGGGGGGAAGATGGAGACGGACCGACATGTGGGGTGGCTTTTAACTGCGTCGCTGCTTGCATTTGAATTTTGTTTTCGTTTCCTTTTCTTTTTCCTTTTATGTGAGCATATTTTGTGCTCCAACAACAACCCCCAAAGCTGACAAAAAAAGAAAAAAAAAACACCCCCTCGACTGCAGCCACCACCAGCATAGAACATCCAACATCCAACAGTGTTGACAAGCGACGTCGCATAAATTCGTTGTGTGCGTTTGCCCAAAATCAAAATGTAAAAGCACAACAGCAACAACAGGAGCATGTAGCAGCAGCAATAACAACGATGAAAAGCCCAACGCGGCATTTTCCCAACGCATGCGCTCTGACATAATGGCAAAAGCAACAACAAGTACAACCACAGCCGCTTCTTTTCTGTTTTGTCGGCAGTTCGAGTTTCTACATGATTTTTTGTTTCATCTGTTGGGCATTCCAAAATAGCAGAACACACTGACAACGCTCTGTCTCCACCTCTGCGTGCATAAATAACTGCATACGCTGCGCTCTCATTCTCGCTCTTATTCTAGCTTGTTCACGTTCACGTTCTATCTACATGCATATGTATATGAATTTTGTTTTTGTCTCTTGCTTTTGCTTTTGCTTTGTCTCCTACAGCCTCGACAGCAACGTTGGCGGTGCTTTTCCTGTGCCTCTGACAATATTTAACATTACTTTGTGGTGTTGTTGTTGCTGTGGTCCTCGAGTCTTAGCAGGTTCTCTCAGTTGCATTTTTTACAGTTGCTTTTTCGGTTGTCGCGCCCCCACACATACACATGCATAAACAGGCACACAAACTGAGAGCATCAACAGCAGGGTTTTTCTTTTTCGTGTATTTGTCGCTTTGTTCTTTTTACCTGCTGTGGTTCACCTTTTGTTTTGACTAGATTCTGCCTCATGACCCGCTGCTCATTTATCGATATTTATCAGAATCTGTTTTATCGTTGAAGCTGTCTCGCTTCTACGTTGACTTCCTGTTGCTGTTGCATGTGTTTACCTGATGCCGACCTGTTCGCCTGGTTGTTGTTATTGCTGCTGTGCTTGTTCTTGCTTGCCGATCGCCGCTCTTTGCTTACAAATCTTTAGCCTTGCAGGCTTACATGCACACACACATGTGTATGTACATATATCTATACATGCAACTGTGTGTGTATGCATGTGCAGTTGGTGTTTCTGCAGATCTCGCTGCCTGCCTGCGCTGTTTTGTATATTGTGTTTATTAAATTTTCTTTTCTTTATACATACATATGAGTGTGTGTGTGTGTGTATGGCATGCATGCAGCATGCCCATACGGCAAGCAACGTTGCCCTGCTTGAAAATTTATTTGTCTGCACGCCATTATCCATTATGTATGTATATACATACACATACATACAAACATGCATGCATTTCTGTATGTATGCATTTATGTTTGTTTGTATATGTGCATACATACATATATTGTACGTCTGTCAGTGTTGGGGAGTGTCTGCGTAGTCAATGGATAGGCTTGCATGCCCCCTCTTCCTCTCTCTCTCTCTCTCTCTCTCTCTCTCTCTCTCTCCTTCTCTCTCTCGCTGTATGCCTCCCTCTGCTCGCGCTGTTTGTTCTTTTTTATTTCATTTTGGCGATTAAAATTAAATTTTAATTCCGTTGTTGTTGTC